GAGGTTCAAAAAGATTGATATAGTGTGTCATACTAGCAAGCATGGATATGAATATGGATATATTTAAATACATTAGGGGAACTCTTACAAATGACATAAATAAATCAGTAACATTAAATATAACGTTGAAATAACTATGGATATATAAAATGAATAAGAAATGCATGCTTTAAATAGTTTTTATTAAGTGATATATTACAATCAACAGCACTAGGAAATAGAAAATGTCAATATCGTACAATAAATTTACTAATAATACACCAAACAGTGTGTGCACTTTCAATCTACTGAAAATTGAAAATTCTTTACAAGACACGTCAAATTATTGTTAGATCAATGAGTTTGATAAACACATTTTTTTTTTGTTTTCCTAAAATCTAAGAGAAAATTCATTTTTAACAAAAGTTATTTTTAGACCAATAAGTTTAATAGATCATAGATCCATATTATTGTTAGTTCCTGTTCGTGCAATAGATTTTTGGACTCTTAGTGGCGGTCATGACGAGAGAGAGATGAACAAAAAATTGGATAGTGGTCTTCACATGGGGCCAAGACTAGTGTTAGGGGTGATTATGGAGATTTGGATAGTGGTTTTGACTTTTGACATGAGGCCGAAGCTAATGCTTGGGGTGATTATGGGCTGGGCCTTGGCCGGGCTTTGCACTTGTGATAAAAAGGCTATATATCCTAGGCCTGGGCCAAGCCCTCCCTGAGTTCCGGGCCTGAATAGAAAGCCTGGACCGAGCTATCATATTATAATATTTACACAAAATAAAAAATATAACATAAAATAATTAACATATATTTATATAAATACATGTACTGATGAAAGCATGATCATATTTAAAATTATTATTGCATGTCGGTTTGAGTGGAGTTGAATTGGCAACCGCCTCAACCTGAAGTAAAATTGAGTTCATGTATCTGTTTAATTCTAATCTTAACTTAAACTTCAACCGGTCCATCCATCTCACCCCGATTTTTCAGTTATGTTTAAACCAACCCAGTTCAAGTTGTTTGTCACCATATCAAGGTTTTAAATATCGATATATTTGATATATCGGTTAAGGACATATTGAATATTAGCGATATTTCTTTTTTTACTTTTTTTTTTATTTTTGAAAATTGATTCAAGGAACGGTTTAAGGTTCCTCCACCTTCAGAACCAATCAGAACTCTGATACGCGATACTTCCAAAATGATATATATCAATTGATACGAGTATCCCATTTAACATAGTCTCAATCTCGACATAAACAACAGCGCTCACACAAACGATCTTGCCTCAACACTTCCCTTTCTAAAAATATTAAAATATTGGAGAACCATGCCCGCCATGGCCTATTCTCTGAAATTAAGACAAGATAATCGTAGAGGGGGCTGTACCCATCAGAGTCCTTATCCTCTCCACGTGAATTCAGCCATTTTGGGACTAACAACTGTTTTATTTTATCTATGATCCTGTTGCCACAAATCACTGCAACAAAGCTAATAGTATCCGATTGCCTTAAAAATAGAATATTCGCCTGATCGGATTGGAATTTTAATCTCATGAACAATACATGCATTTATGTCATATGGTTGAATTGTAGTCCCTACAACACAGTCTTCAAGATGTGTGGGCGTACACTATTAAGGAAACAAGATAACAGATTTCTTAGTTAAGACTACACCTCTCCTGAAGTATGGTTCTAAGTAGATTTCCTTTGTTAGAATTCTCTAGTAAGTGGTATTAAAATGTTTAAAATATTCATGTAATTATTATTGAAATTAATTTCTATAGAAAAAAAAATAAATTTTATGAGCAAGAAAATAAAAAAAAAATTGGAATTGCAACTTTACTTTTAAGTGATTGATATAAAGGGTAAATTGAAAAATAAATATTTTGATCGAAAGTAACTGCATAAGTATTTTGGACACTTTCATACCTCTTTTTATAAGATTCTAGCAGTGGGGGCCTACTTGCAATTATATTATAAAGTTAAGGAGAGATGATTATAATTACCAAATTTTAGGGGAGGTTTTAACAACAATTAAATTCTTAATAAGAGGTTCAGCACTTTACCCAAAAAATAAATATCAACCTTGATTGCAGGGATGCAAATGGATATGATCAAATTGAGGTATTTTTGAACCTGATCCGATAATATAGATATTACATCTGATTCGATCCGAAGACCCAAGTGAACCATAAAAAAGCAGATTCGAATCCGAATCTGATTTAATTTCTTTAAAATATAACAAATTGTTAACGAAAAAAAAGCATAGCAGTGTCTATAAACAAAAACAAAAAAAAATACAAAAATGTAGTATATATAGAGGGTGATCCGAGTTCGATTAATCGGATCCAATTATACGTCCCGATCCATCCCAAGAATTTGACTTGAAACATCCGAACCTGACAAAATAGAGTGGGATTCAAATTCGGATCGAATCATGATCCGGTCCATTTCGCATCACTTTGGACATGGCCATTCGTCAAGTCGTCGTCGTCAGTCGCTACCCGTCAAACAAAAAGAAAAGAATTGGAAAAAAAAACACCTATCAGCTTCCATTTTCTGAATCGCGAGTCGCGACGCTCGCCACCCAAAATACAGATGTGGAACCTGACAAATTGTACCAAGTGGAGACGACAGAGCCTAAATGGATTAACTGGCGTTGCTGAGCTGGCATCTTTATCCCCTAATTAAATAGCAAATATCCAATACAATATAACATTTTAGGTAGGACCCATTTATAAACAACATTCTCGGGTGAATAATGCAGATTTGGTCTTTGATGTATGCACCCCATCCGCCTACCATCCGTTATTTCGGATGGACCCTACACGACAACTGAAAAGTGAGAAAAGGTTCACACTATCACAGAACCTTTCAACTTCCATGCTGACCAGACTATTTATTGGATACATACGCGGCCATTGTAGTACGGTGTAATGTGTAATTTGAAAATGAGTTATTTCCCAATCTGGAGGAAAAAAGATCAAAATCCAAATTTAAAGGCCAGGAGCAGAGGAACCTAGTACTCCACAGTCTAACAGTGTTGCAGGCTTGAAGCAGAACTACTGGAACTGGATTGTCGTCGTCAGTTAGGATAATTTCGCAATTGCACTAAAAAGTTCGGTGGCGATAAGCCGATATAATGATTTCTTGCCCTTGCCACTTGTGTAAAGGTGACGGAAAAAGTGGATTCTTCGCTGGGAGAGCGTCGTCGACTCGTCGTGTCGGTGACGACCGTTGATGCGGAAAGTGACGCCGACGGTGCGATTACAGGCCTTGTCTCCAATGTGATTAAGACACGTGTCAACTGGTAAACCAACTACTATTTCGATCGAACCGGACTATGGTCTAGTGTATGTGGTTCCAGGTAGGCGTTTTTGGGGGAATGTTGAGCGACAACGACGTGATGGCACGAGATCCAACAAACTAATGTTTTTGACTGAAGACTCAGGTAGTACATTAGCCAACAGACTTGCGGAATAGCGGAAGGCCGCACCCACTATTTAATTCGATCTCACCAAACAATACATCTGGAAGGTGTAGTTGGGCTGTTGGGGTTGGGTGGGTCATGTTCATGGATGGGGAGATCGATACAAATGTTTTCTGAAGCCCATGCGCCACGACGCACGAAATGGGCCTGTGGTAGGGCTTCGTGGGCCTAGTGTCTTACCAATTTTTCTTGGGCTCAGCTGCATTCAGCGTCTTGAGAATTGAGATCCATGAAATCTGGGACAGCCGTCCCTTACAGCAGCTACAGCTATCTGTCATGAGCAATGCCAGAAGCTGTGCTATTATAACGTGCTAAAGACATATTCAGCCCTTTAATATTATCAAATCGTCTTATTTTATTAGTCTTCTCTTTGATGTGCCCGAATCAAAAATTGGATTTGCCCAATCACGTGCCTCAAAAAGGACAGGATCCAGCCTCCCTGAGTCCCTGACGATGACTTCCCCCTTCCTGTATCCTGTGCTTCGATTCTATGCAATTCACTTTCAGCATCACTTTCGCGCCACCGATTTTGGCGTCCTTCCGCCCTTCTCGTAGTCTAAAAAAGACAAAAGTACCCCAGTTATGCTCCGAAAAGCAGTTATCTAACAGGGGTACTTGTGGTCAGTACACTAGATATGTGATGACTTTATTGATCTTTTCATTGGGATGGGAAGGGCCGGAATGCCTCAATTTGATAAACTGGGACGATACAACAACTCACTTTTGACAAAGAGTAACAATGGGCCCATCACCATTTCATCCTTTAAAGGTAGCCCCATTAAACAACGGTAAATGAAAAAGCCCATACACGAGTTTGGTGGCACTGAGCATCCATAGCCGTCAGATCTGTTTCAACCCAGAGATACATGATCTCTAAATCCACATTACTAATGCTTAGAGGTTTACACGTGGCGAACCACCTACCTCGTGATGCGTACCAGCTAATCTACAGCAGCGCATCTGACGTATGTAATTAATAAGTATCTCGCGCTATGCAGATTCCGAGAGAAGATTTCTCCGTCCATCTGCTGGTGGATTGTGGCTCACACGAATTGGAATCTGTTCCTCACGGAGCGCGCTTCACAGCCTCAAATCACTCTGAAATCGGAGAACATCTCCTATCAATAATAAATACAAATACGAGAGATGTTTCCGATGTACGACCAAATCACTGTAAAGTCGGTGTGAAGTGCAGTTGGTAAGGAGCAGATCCGGACTCGGCCCAAACCTGGGTTAGCCAACATTTGAACGGTTGAACGAAGGATAGCATGTAATCTCGCAGAAATAGATATACAACGCAACGAGCGGAATAAATAGACTAGGAGAGGGTTATTTAGACAATTTAATGGGTTAAATTGAAGTTTTAGGTGAGGTGTCAAGTCTCTGATGATGTGTAAGGAAAGTAACCGGGAATTACCGGTCAGTTTCGGCCACCGACAGTTTTTCTAAGCTCAGCTGAAACCGAACGCACCAACATGTGGGTATTTTAAAGAGTAATCAAGCAGTCGAACTGGCCAAACGTCAGAGGTTCTCAGAGAAATAAATTCACTCGTCGCAGAAATAATTAGAGTGAGGCTGGCAGAGAGCTTCCGGCTTCCCTGCGACCTGCTCTAGTGCTCTAGACTCTAGTATATTCAGATTTCAAAAGCAGCAATTAAATTTGGTTTATAAAATTCTGCAACTTAAAACAGAGAAAAATGGCGGAGAATGAGGCTCGTATTTGAAGCTTCGAAGATTAAAGGAGCTTAAACAAAGATTTGGTGAGTTATATTTTTCTTCTTCTTCTTTTCTTCTTCTTCTGTTTTTATTATATTTTTTGATTAACAAGGCTGCAGCATTTTTTACTTGTCGGTAACTTTTTGTCGTCGTTAGGTGGCTTATCTTTCTTGATTCTACATTCGATAGAATTCAGATGAAGTGTGTTGGTTGTGCTATGAAATCTTCTGCTCGGAATCTCTGTAAAGCAGAACCATGGCGTTACTATAGAAATTCTTTTTGATGCTAATTTAGATATATAGATACCTGTGGTTATAATTTATACAGGTCTTTGTTGTTTTACTTCTGTTTCATAACTCTGCTTGTTCGATTCGAGTGGAGGAAGTCAGAACTTGCTGAGTTTCTCTCTCAAGAAATGCTTGGTTGGTGCGTTTACGATTAATTTAATATCTTGATGCCGATTTGCCGGTGATCCAAATGGCACATTTGTTATTATATACCGTTTAGTTAGAATTGGAGTTCTTTGTATTCGCACTAGGTGAAACTAGACTATAGTCTCTTTGCTAACAAATTTATATGATTCTATTTGGTTTGTTGGTTTCGTAATCTAAATTCACAGTTTTAGTTGCTTCGATCTTGCTTACTCTCGTTGAATTCAGTAAATTCCAATCAGATCCGTTTTGCGTTGCACTTCATTTGACATTAGGGAGAGTTTTGTTGTCAATGCTCCAGTCCATGAAGTTGATCTTCAAGATTGGATTAAGGGAGGTGGTCATAACTAGCAGTCTGGCCATTGACTGAACTCAGTCAGAGATTTGTAAATGCGGGATGACTATGATATTTGCTTAGTTCTTTCATCAGGTATTGCATGATTAAATGAACCTAAGGATTCCAATTGGTCAATAAGACTGTTAGATCTTGCAATTCTATGACTATCGATTGGTTTCTTTAACTGGCCACTCATTAAATGATTTTCTATGATTGTGATTTTCCATCTGAAGTTAAAGCTAATATTATGCATGCCCTCAGATTATTATTATTATTATTTGTGACAGAATCAATGCTAATTTACACTCTAGGTTTACCTCACTCAAATGAATTTGGCTAACAATGATATCTTTTTTCTCTCTCTTGCTGCAGAATTCATCAACATATTTCCAGAAACCAGGGGAAGGGTCTAGGAACTTGATTTTGAATGTTGATGTGTTTTTTTCCCATTAAGCAATTTAACAGCAGTTGAATTTTGTGAGTGCAACTGTCTGTTATTCCTCTCCTTCATCAATAGCATCTTATTTTAATTCTACAGTTGGAAATTAAGAAATCATGAGGGAAACAGATAAAAAGAAATCTATACCAAATAATAGCCACAGAAAACGCTCCAACAGAGGCAACAGGAAAGAACAAAAAGTGCAAGAGAATGAACGCAACAAGTTGAATGCAAAAGAAGCTGAATCTGGATCTTTGGATGATGGACCAGAATCCACTGTCTTAGCAAGTGATTCAAATGCAGGAACAGAGTCTACTGAAGTTTATGAAAACCTGGTTATACATTATGTGGATGACATGGACAGGCCCGAAGGGACAGCTGCAGATTTAAAATCTGGTCAAATGGCTGCTAGAGAGAATAAGGATGAGGTAGAAGATCATTCAAGTGATTTGGAGAAGGATTCTAAGCAAGGAAAGGAAGATGAATCTGATTGTGAGACGGCAAAAGATTCTGTATCATCTCAAGGGGAAGCACAGGCAATAGAAGATGACAAGATAGAAAGGGTATCAAGAGTTCCCAAGGTGCTTGCAAAAAAGGACTCTGCTGAAAGCAGTCCTCGTTCATCAAGAGTAAGAACAGATCGCCGGGAAGCAAGTAAACTGCAAAATAATGTGTCAAATAATGCTTCAAAGAGATCTGCTAAATCCAACCGAGAATCTTCTAAGGTGAACTCTAAAGGTATCTCTGAAAACAAATCTACTGGTATGAAAGTTCCTCCAAAACCTTCATCAGAAACATCTGAAGGAGTTGATGATAAGCCTATTGAAGAGATAAAGGAGATAGAGGTCTTGGATGAGGCACTCAATAGTGCCCATAGTCTTGGAAGTGATGATGAAATGGTTGATGCAGAAGAGAATGGTTTTGAAGAAGACAGGGAAATTTTTAACCAAAGGATGGAAGAAATGGAACAAAGAATTGAGAAACTTGAACAAGAACTAAGAGAAATTGCTGCTCTTGAGATTTCACTCTATTCTGTTGTACCAGAGCATGGGAGCTCAGCACATAAGGTGCATACACCTGCTCGACGCCTTTCTAGGCTATACATTCATGCTTGCAAGCATTGGACTCAAGACAAAAGAGCTACTGTTGCAAGGAACACTGCCTCAGGACTCGTCCTGATAGCCAAGTCCTGTGGTAATGATGTTCCAAGGTGACAACAACCATTGCATATATTAGTTGAATAACTTCAAATGTTTTATTCCCTATCTTGTAGAATAACCTCCCTTTTTCCTTTTGACCCTTCAGGTTAACATTCTGGTTGTCAAACACAATTGTCCTAAGAGAGATTATAGCACAAGCCTTTGGCAATTCACACCACTTGAGTCCGGTTGCAAAGGTTGTTGAATCAAATGGTGGGGTAAAGAAGAGTGAGGGGAAGTCTTTATCACTGAAGTGGAAGGGCAGTTCTGGTTCTAAGCAAGTAAAGAAACTTGGCTTCATGCAAGTTGTTGATGACTGGCAGGAGACAACCACATTTACAACTGCATTGGAGAAGATTGAATCCTGGATTTTCTCTCGCATTGTTGAATCTGTGTGGTGGCAGGTAAAAGGCTGCATTTAAGTACTTTATAACACTTTGTAAAATAGTACTAATACATTTATACATGATGGTTCTCACACAATTGAATTACTATGAACTTATTTATTGCAAAAATGAACTCTTGTTGCCTATGTAATAATGTTTCTGGTTTGTATCACTAGTCACTCTCTTAAGATTAATATTTATTTCCGTAATATCTGTTTGGTGTGATCTTCTCTTTGAGCTGACGCTAGCGATCCTGTTTCAGACCTTAACTCCACACATGCAATCTCCTCTTGATGATTTGTACACCAATAAAAGTTTTGGCAAACTATTGGGGCCTGCCCTAGGTGATCTGCAGCAAGGAAGTTTTTCAATCAACCTTTGGAAAAGTGCTTTCCAGGATGCCTTCCAAAGACTCTGTCCTGTTCGAGCAGGGGGACATGAGTGTGGTTGCTTGCCGGTGTTAGCAAGAATGGTATGCAGTTTTAACATCTATTGAGTTATTCCCAGCCTTCATCTCTCTAAAACTTCAACAGTATAAATCTCTTGTTCAATCTAGATTTGTGGTCGTACATGAATGTCTGGTATAAGTCTAATGATCCAAATGCATCTTCCTTCAGCAGACTCAAAAGGCCATTACCCTATATTGGTTATAACTTTCTGGGGTATTAGGAGGGGTAGACTGGATAATATCCTAAGCTTTGGCATTTTTTGCACCAAGTTTCCACTCTTAGATTCAAACCTGCATACTCACACTTGCCAACCCAATTTGTGTAGTTTGGATACACAAATTGACAGAAAAACTTGAATTGTGGTTTGCCTACTTTAAAAAGCAACTCTTTTTTTTTCCATTGTCAGGTAATGGAACAGTGTGTAGCCAGGCTAGATGTTGCAATGTTCAATGCCATCCTGCGAGAGTCAGCTCATGAGATCCCCACTGATCCTGTATCTGACCCAATTGTTGATTCAAAGGTTTTGCCAATTCCAGCTGGAGATTTGAGTTTCGGGTCTGGTGCACAACTCAAAAATTCTGTATGTATCAAATTCAGTTTCATGTTCTTTACTAAGCTCAGGTTTCTGATTTTTGTATTCCTCAAGTGTGAAAATTGCATGTTTTTCTTGCATGATTTGTTTTTTTAGTTGTTGGCATTTCCTTCTCCCTTACAAGTTAAGAACTATTCATACTTGATACTTGTACGCTTCCTGAAATGTTGATGGTTTGTGAAGCATTTTTTTTTATAAAATTTGTTTAATTGACCTTTTACATACATGCTGGTTGACATATTGGATCAAAAAAAAAAAAAAAAACAAATAATAATTGGGAAGACTATACATGCCAGGTTGGCAACTGGTCTAGATGGCTCACTGATCTGTTTGGCATGGACACTGATGACTCCCCGAAAGATGATCAGACGAGTACTGAGGATGATTTCAGAAGAGGTGGAAATGCTGAACCGAAATCCTTCCGTCTACTTAATGAATTGAGTGATCTATTAATGCTCCCAAAAGACATGCTTATGGAAAGATCCATCAGAGAAGAGGTCAAGCTTGCCATTAATCAAACTATTTATCATGATATGTTTTCTTGAATAACCTTACCATACAAGTACATTACTAAAACTCCTAATTTCATGTTTTAGGTATGCCCCTCGATTAGTCTTCCCTTGCTTAAGCGCATACTCTGCAATTTTACTCCGGACGAATTCTGCCCTGATCCTGTTCCGGGGGCAGTCCTTGAGGCCCTGAATGCTGAGGTATGGTTTTGACCATCTTTATATTTCAGTAATCCTAAGAAATTTCCATGTTGTTCATAGAAGTACCTAGAAGTGAAGTAAATATAAAGTTTACTTTTTGATGGTGATTTACCCAAATATTTCAATGCAGAGTATAGTGGAACGGAGGTTATCAAACGGGGACTCAAATAGCAGCTTCCCATTCCCTGCTGCCCCAGTTGTTTACACCCCTCCTAGCCATTCTGATGTAGCTGAGAAAGTTGCAGATGCCGGATGGAAATCTCAGTTGGAGAGGAATGTGTCGATTGTCCAGAGAAAAGGGTATACCAGCGATGAGGAATTGGATGAACTGGATTCTCCTCTGACATCCATCATCGACAAAATGCCACGCACTCCAACTTTTGCAAATGGTAAAGTAGGAAATGGTAATGGAAAGCACAAGGAAACCACGGGTTATGGTGGAGGGAATGCGAGGTATGAACTCCTTCGTGAAGTCTGGTCTATATGAATGCTACCATGCGCTGTATGCTATCTATTTCTTTTTGTTTGTACAAAAGAAGAGAGAACGAGAATGGAAAACAAAGGCAATATAGAATGCAGGCGATCGTGAATAACTGCTGAGAGGAAAATTTTACAGTCGGGAGCGCTCAGATCTGTCTCGCACCATTGGCTTTTCTTGTAAATTAAACAGCATGTTCATCATAAACGATGTTCTGAGCAATTTCCTTCCTTTCGATTAATGGCCAAGAGTTCATCATAAAAAGCGTGTTCTGGTGTTCATCATAATTACTGAAAATATGGTAATGCACCTAGAATTTCCTTTTTTACCCATTCCATCCGTTGCTGACTAAGATTTGATTTCATTGACAAACATCACCAGAATTTAATCAATCGGAAGTAGTTTCAGTGTAACTGGATGGAGTCATGGAGTAGCTTGTTAATACAAACTTTCTTGCCTAGCTTGTTAATTACTGAATGGAGTCGTGGGAAAAGAAGAGGAGTCGAGACTGAGATTCAATAAATAAATCAAATAAACAAAGCATGCAATTTTTCTCAACAATTAAGAGAGTCAATAAATAAACAAGGCATGGAACAAAACAAAGCAGGAAGGGGAAAAACAAATCATAGATGTTTTCTCCAAACAGGATTCAGTCAGAATAATGTCCATTCCAACAGCAATCATAGAAGTACAAAAATATTCCCGATGCAAAGTTATAAAGGCTGTTTGAACGGACTTTGCTCTTATTGAAGCCCATCTCTGTTTTCTCAACATTTAAGAGATTCAATAAACAAATCAAAAAATTTACAGTTTTTATATAATTATTAACAAACTTAAGAAATTCAATAGTTAAAGGTAAGCAAACCAAACAAATCAATCAACTGTAAATAGGAAAGAAGGAAGATACCTTTGCTAGGTGTCTGGCGTAACTATAACCCCGAAGAGAAATCCAACGTTTGACAAAGAAGCAAACATGAGAGAAAAGGTCTTGTGGCCATACCTAGAACAATCTTTACGAGTGGAGATTTCTTTCACATCTAAAACAAAAATGGGCTATGTTTTTTGGTTTGGGGACATCAGCGTGTCATTTTTAAATGTTAGGTGTAATTTCGACTTTTTATTAAATCTAAAATGCATCTGAATGCCTTAAAAGTTAGGCCACATGCTTTGAGTTTCAGATTTGAAAACAAAATTCAGATAATTTTTCAGATGCGTCATAAAACAGGTTTCAGACACCAAGTCATAAAACAGGACTGGTGTCTTAAAAGTGTATCAAACATGCCCCAAGTCATTTGACTTTTAACCAGTTAGAATGAGATTCTCATTTCCAAGGGGGAGGCCAGGATGACCATTCCCTAAACGGGGAATGCCATTCTGAAAAGAATAGGGATCAAAATCCCATCCCACCCAACCAAATAGTCGGATTCTGGTTCCAAACCTCTATTCCTACAAACCAAGCGTACCCTTAGTTTATTGACATTGCATTCCCCGGAAGAATTGATAACCAAATATCTTATCTTCAGACACACTTGAGGGACCAAAAGGAATAATAAATCATGATTTTAAACATCAGACCAAACTAGACGGTTTCACTGACTAACCTAGAAACTGATCATAGATCTGGATCCAGTTCTGGATGTCAAAACCATCCAACCTGGGTTTGGACCAGATAATTGGACCATTTGACCTAAGAACCGATGGTCAAAGTGATTCTGTTTCTAGTCTGGTTTTCAAAACCATGTAATAAAGCCCCATAAAGACTTAGGCCATGTATGAGAGTGTTTAAGTTGAAAATAAGTGCTTAAAAACAAGTGTTTATTCAAATATGCACTTATTTGCATTAGGCACCCAACTTTTAAAATAAGCGCTTATTTCATATTGGGTGTTTGATAGTCTTTTTTCTCTAATAAGAACTTAATAAGCATTTGTCACTATTTTGTCCTTCATTTTCTTTCAAATTTTTAAAATATATCATTTGAAAGCACTTTTAAGAAAGTACTTTTATGACAGCATTTTTACGAAAATACTTTTATGAAAATACTTTTTGTAAAAGTAATTTCATAAAGTGCTTTTATAAAAGTACTTTCATAAAAGTTTTTATTGTATAAGCACTTTAAAAAAACTAAAAATTTGGACTAAAAAAATAATCCCTTATTTTTAAAATAAACACTTATTTTAGACTCATTTCCCAAATATCAATAAGTGCTTAATGACCCAAAGAAGCACTTATTTTAAATAAGCACTCTCAAAGACATCTTTTATTATTTGCCTATGTCACTTGTGAGAAAACGGGAAGAGATACATTTACAGTACATTTTCTCCTCAATCTTTCGATCAGGCCTAAAATTAAAATGATCAAGATAAAGTGATCAACAACGAGACAACCCCTTCCTATTCTATTAGATTGATTGGGGCATCCAACAATCTCAGGTATTTTGTTAGGTTTCGTTTAGATCACTGCTGGAAATAGAGGCATCTGAAATGTAACCTCTATTTGGCATTACGAAAATGAATAATGTAAAACTTTGAAATGAGCTTTGCAGTAGGTTTCTGAATACAAGTTACATAGATGATAGATCTCGCAAAACTCGCTTCCCGTTTCTGGGTTCTGGTTTGTCAAATCTGGAGTAATACTGCAATTATAAAAGTATTTGGAATAAGGTCTTAAAGACTCTAAACAGTGCATTAATGGTGATCCTGTTTATGTTATGTGGAGCTGGTCAATAAGACATGTACAAGTTGGTTTTGAAAATTAAGTAATTTTTCAAATGTATAGGATACATACAAGTAATTAACCCCATAAAATATTACAAAAATGACAAGAAAACTAAGAAAATTTTAAATACAATCAAGTATATAATCAGTTTGGAACGGCAAGAACAAACCTCGACTCAATGACTATGTTAGGTTAATTTAGTTGTGTAGTAACTTCACACTTGTGAGAGATTTTTAATTTTTTTTCTACCTTGGCTCCATGGGGGCACACAAAAGGGGTAGACCATCTTCCAAACTCAAACCCCCCGCTCCCCAACCCTCATGCAGAAATCTCCTTTTCTATCAGCGTTCTGGGTCCCCCTCACGGATTTTTCTTGTGCAAGTGAAAGTAAGAAACAGATATCGTACCAAACACAACCTGGCTACACTTTGAAGCCAAAAGGTTATATAGGCCATTACTGGTCTAGCATCCAATCCAGGATTTTTGGAGGGGTGGGAAGGTACAGACCTAATTTTCACCATTTTTTCCAAATGTGGGCGCTCCCAGTCTTAAACATGATTTCATGGGCCGTCAGCCTGCCCATATTCCCAAGGCTTCCTTGTGTCCAAATTATTTATAACAAACAAGGATATAATTAGTAGAAACTTGGCAAAACCCTCGTTAAACCAAGATTGGGACCGGGAGTGAGACAAAGAGTGGCAGGGTTTGAATTCACAAGAAACTATTCCCCTTCTTTCGGGCAATATAATGATACTAGGCCCCATTTGTATCTCTTGGAAACTGTTCAGTTTTACAGGGAATATGAATGAACGATAAAGCAGAAGCTAATTACACTCCATAATCGATATTCAAATTGTTAAGTACCAAAGGTACAGATAAACAGTTCTCAATAAAGGGGAAAAACTAAACAAGATAGAGTTCTCACAATACTCCAAGTTACATTCATTTGGCGGCAGAAAACCCTAATGTATTAATAAACAAAACCAGAGTCCCTGAATTGAACAAAAATAAGATCAAAAATTTAATTTACCTAAAAAACCCTATAGTGCGGTAGTGCCAGCAAGTTCAATCTTCTCCTTCAATGACCTTGGTACACAAACCCTTGAGTCCTTCAGGTGGAACTTCTGCTACTGTTACCAATGAGTAGAGCTCCTCCTTGGCATCTTCTTCATCATTCCTCTTTCGAGCAATGCGCACCCTGACACGCCTTGGTACGCTCCGAATCCCACGACTCCATATTAACTTGTTCAGCTTCACATCCACTCTAACATCTGTTGTCCCCATTGCCTTCTGGGCAAACTTCCTGATTTCCTTTATGGCCTTGGGAGCCATCTTCTTGAAAGTGCTGTGGACAGAAACTAGTTCATTATCAACACTAATGTCATTGGGAAAGCACATGTCAAGTAAAGGGTATCTAACATGTGTCTGAATGTCCAGAAATTCAGGCCATACCATCAACACGTCCATAAGCAAAATACTACATATAGGAACTTAAAATGTTTAAGATGGATCAGAATGAATCAGATTATTATGCTTAAACAATAATGATCGGTAGGGGTGTCCAAGGTTCGGTTAACCAAACCATGGACAATTTTTGCAAACCAAACCAGTCCTGCCGGTTTTTCAATTTCTCCAAACTGAAACTGAACCGGTACCACTGGTTAACCGGTCCATCAGTTTTGGTTTTGACCGGTTTGGTTCTTCGATTTTTCAGTTTTTTATATTTATAATATATATTATATAAATATATGTATAATATTATATATTTATAAATATAATATATGTATATTATTTATATATAATGCATATATATTTATATATATAATATAAAAAATATGTGACATATATTTAAAATATATATAAAATATACATATAAATATATACATACTGATTGGTTTGGTTAACCGTCAGTTTTTTTCTAGGGTAACCAAAAACTGAACAGGTCCTTCGTTTTTTCAAAAATACTAAACTGAAACCAAACTGATCAGTTCGGTTAACCGCATTTTCTGGTTTGGTTCTTGGCTTAGTTCGGATTTTCAGTTTTTCATGGACACCCCTAATGAATGGTCAGTTCATAACACATCCACCTCATCATGACTCTTGCCAAGGGCCCGTTTGGTAAGTCTTTTTGGGAAGATCTTCTAGTAGCTCTGACAGTCAAAAGACGCAATGAGCTTTTGCATGAAGATCTGAGCAGCCCGAAGCTAGTTTGGTAAATACAAGTTTGTGTCTTTCCACACGAGAATAAAACGCGAAAGACATGAAAAGCTTCATTTGGAGCTTCTCTAAATCAGCCCAAAATGGCCTTCTTGTGTCTTTTCGGTGCTCCGGCTTTTGGCGGCTAGATCTTCCACGAATCAAATGGGAATAGACCAAAAATTAGTTTGCCTGACTTGTAAACAGCCGAAAGACCATGTGGAAAGGAACGCCAAACGGGCCCTAAGTTGCTGACTATACCCGTGGATAATGGAACAAAACACAAATACAGACAATGATTAAAATATCAATACAATAACCATATTGGGTGCACAAATAGGTCCAAAAAGTAAATCATTCTGAAAGAAGGAAACCAAATGGTTGCAGTCCACAAATAGCATTGCCACTCTACATATAACATATCTCAATGGGTCTCAGCATACCAAGGTAAAATGAATGATTTATTCATTCACTAAATGGAGTATAATACTTTCAGGAATGGAGACAGTGGACAATAGTTCATAATAGCATGTTTTCCAGAAACCTCTTGCATCTTTTTCAAGATATCCACATCTCATCAACTTTTAGTTACTTTTGTCAGTCTACATACCTCAATGGGTCTCAGAATATCAAGGTAAAATGAATTAATTATTCATTCACTAAATGGGGTATAATATCAGCAGGAATGGAGGCATTGGACAACTGTTTCCTAATAACACGTTCCCAGAAACCTCTTGTATAGTTCTATGTTTTTCAAGGGATCCACATCTCCTCAAACTTGTTACTTTACTCAGCTGCTAGCATACAGGGTATTTGAAGGGAAAGTTTAGCTAAAGGACAACAAATAAGTTTCAAAGAACTTGGGGTTGACAAAATCTCAACGAAAAACCTCCTTAGCTCCACCACACCACAACCCCCACGGCCCCACTCTAAAAAGAAGGGGAAAAAGAGAAGAAAACAAGTTCACGGGAAACAGGTCTCAGCAAGTGGGTAGAGACACAATCATCAAGTGTGATAGACTTTGTTGAATATATGATTCCATTAATTCACATAAATTGTATTATATTATTCCCAAAAATTGTCTAGCGAATATGAATTTCAAGATCAGATAGTACTACTCGCAGACAATGAAAAAAAAAAAAAAGCACTAAAGGTGCATGTTAACAAAATAGCCTTACAAATTAGTATAGAAACCAAACATTAACAGAATAATGTCATGAATCCCAATGCCTTTTAGTATAGAAACCAAACATTAACAAAGTAGCCTTACAAATTAGTACAGTTGGAACAAACCAATCATAACCAAAGCCCGTCGGGACAGTGGTAGGAGTAGCACTCTGAGTCAGTGAATGCAAAAGCTCTCCCCAACATGCTTATCGTTAAACTCAACTTTATTCAATTATAAGAACTTACAACAACCTATAAAGCTGGAACGAAAACAAATGAACTAGTAATAACAAACAACAAATGCTCGTCGTAAATGTTCCTAAGACCATTAAATAATTTACGTTCAAATAAACATTAACAGTAAACGAACAACAGTCCAATAGAAGAACAAAGTCTTATACAACTAATTCGGAAGACAATACAATTTCCTAAGTTCTTAGAACTACCAATTGACAACAAAGGATAACAGACTCAAAACATCGGGGAAAGAGCATTGTATAAACAAATATGAACAGAATCACCATCACTATGAGATTTCCGAGTTTTGGGGTAAAAAATTATATATCTAATCCAGTTATGACAGAAGAACGAGAAGAAAAAAAGGAATGGAAATGAAGATCTTCATTACCAGCCATGCAAGCGCTTGTGGAGATTAACGGTGTACTCCCTCGTAACCACCTCCTCCTTTCTTCCTTTGTTCGCCTTCTCCACCATTGTTGCAGCTCCCTTCAAGCCCAAACCCTGAATTCTTACGTCTTGGCCGCAGAAGAAACCCTAAATCTCGAGTGAAAAATATATATCAGCGAAATCAGATCATCCAAAGCAGACTGGCCTCGCTTTTCACAGGAAATGACGTAAATGCCCTTTTCTCTCTGCACGTGTCCTGATTTCTCTCCGGACTAGAACTGTTAATGGATCGGGTCTATCTTCCGAGCTTTCTGTGTAATTGTGTCCCAATTAGTAATTGGATCTAGTCCGCAATGTTTTAAAAACCGGGTGACCCGCTTTTCCTTCGCATGTGTGATTCATGACGTTTTCTATAGTTTTATTTTATTTTATGTTTATTTTATATCATGGTTTTTAAAACCGAACCGGTCAGGGGTCCGGTTATCAGGTCAAATGGTCGGCCCATTCTGACTAAAAAATAAAAAATGGTCAAAACCATTTAAACAATTAACCGCCCGAGTCAGCGATTTATTGACGAAAATCAACGGTTTTTGAAAAAAATTCAATTTTGGGGAAAATCGAAACCAGTTACCTGACTGCTTCCCACTTTTTCCGTCCGACCGGTTTTAAAAACCATGTTTTATGTTAAAATTTATTTTTTTTATAAATTCAGAAGATTAAAACTTGAAATTTGAAATTGGAATAACTTTTTCTTTGACAAAATTAACGGGTAAAAGCACCTTACTTTTGCATTGCATAATCACAAAAAGTTACCATCCCAATCTGACCATCGAGTGTGGGTTATGACCTCCAAAATTTTTCTTATAGTTATAACTTGAGACCATTAAATGGTTTAATGGTTCAACCGCTGGGGTCACCAAGTCAACGGTTTCAAATAAATTTTAGATCTTAAGTTAGGGTTGTTCATAAGAAGACCCAATCTGACCAACTTGGACCAACCCAACCCGAGTCAACCAGGTTTTCTTCAGCATCAGTCGGTTTTGGGTTATAAAACATGTGTGAAAACCGAAACCAACCTGAACCAAACTGACTTAGTAGTTAGTTCCTAGTTAGTAGTTACAACCTACTTAGTTCCTACTTAACTAAGTTGTCTCTATCCTAGTTACAACCTAATTTAATTTCTAGTCTTCTAGTTAGGAATGACATTAATGGCAAGCATTGTAAGACAACTAGACAAGGAATTTTTTTGGAAAAGTTTAAAGAAAAGAATCAAAGGATCCTATTTCTGTGGTCTTTTACACCAAATAGGCAACCAATTACAATTAGAATTAGGTGTCCTTTTTTACTTAGATTAGAAGGTTTCTTGAAATATACAAATTTCAGTATTCTTTCTCTAATACAGTTTGACTTTCTATTTTCTTGATAMMTWRAYT